CCAGTGAGTTGAGATCTCTAATGGCCAGCTCAGAGACAGTGGATAGCCTCACCTAATAAGGTGGCAGGTGTTGCCACTGGCTGCTGTGGCCTGTCCAGACAGACAGCACATGATATGGGGAAGCGGAACACCCAAAACACTGACCTGTAGCTCCCTGCTGAGAAGTCCATCATGCTGCAGGACTCAGGCACCATTCACTACCCCGGACCCAGAGCAGGAAGCCTGTTAGAGACCTCCCACTCAGGCCTCTCTCTCATCCTGTGGGGGTGCTGGGAGGAACCAGAGTCCCTTGCCTCTTCATCTCTTGACCAGGCCCCTCCATGGGTCACACTGTGTGTGGCTCCACCATGCCCTCACACATACCCTGGGGCAGCTAATCCTGGGTCCAGACCCTGCTCAACTCTGTACCCCTGACCAATTTTTCCTGTCTCCTAGGGCTTCGGGTACCTCATCTGTGAGAGAACGATGTGCCCGAGGTACACTGTGTCCGTCATGGGAGGGTCCTTCCATAGCGACTGTCGGCAGCAAAGGCCGCAGTCAGGGGCAGTTTTGTTTGTTTGGGGCTTTCGTTTTGTTGGTGTTGGTGGTTTTGGTGTTTTGGGATTTTTCTTTTATGTTTCTTTTTCTTTTTTTTTTTTTTTTTTTTTTTTGAGACACAGTTTCTCTGTGTAGCCCTGGCTGTCCTGGAACTCACTCCGTAGACCAGGCTGGCCTCGAGCTCACAGAGATCGACCTGCCTCTGCCTCCCCAGGGCTGGGTTAAAGGTGTGCGCCACCACCACCACTGGCTATAGTTCTTTTTGTTGCTGTTGTTTTTATTTTTTTCTATCATCAGCTTGATACAGTAGTTTTAGTTTGAAGTTTATTTTATTAGATATTAGGATAGCTACACCAGCTTGCTTCTTAAGTCCATTTGATTGGAAAGTCTTTTCCCAGCCTTTTACTCTGAGGTAGTGTCTGTCATTGAAGTTAAGGTGTGTTTCTTGTATGCAGCAGGATGGATCCTGTTTTTGTATCCATTCTGTTAGCCCGTGTCTTTTTTTTTTTTTGGTTTTTCGAGACAGGGTCTCTCTGTGTAGCTTTGCGCCTTTCCTGGAACTCACTTGGTAGTCCAGGCTGGCCTCGAACTCACAGAGATCCGCCTGGCTCTGCCTCCCGAGTGCTGGGATTAAAGGCATGCGCCACCACCGCCCGGCCAGCCTGTGTCTTTTTATAAATGAGTTGAGACCATTGATATTAATGGATATAAATGACCAGTGATTGTTAATTTCTGTTATTTTTTGGTGGTAGCGTTGTTTCCCTTCTTTGGTATTTGTTGGGGTAGGATTATCTATTGCCTGAGTTTTCATGGGTGTGTTTAACTTCCTTAGATTGGATTTTTTCTTCTAGTGCTTTCTGTAGGGCTGGATTTGTGGATAGGTATTGTTTAAATCTGGTTTTATCAAGGAATAATTTGTGTACTCCGTCTATGGTGATTGAGAGTTTGGCTATAGTTCTTAAAATTTCACTCTTACCTCTTGAGAATTCCCTGCTGTGTTTTGAGGAACGCTTCCTTCGTTTGCCTAGTCCAAGGAGTACGATGTGAGGTCCAAGTGACAGTCACGCTCCCAGTGCGGGCTCTAGGTGTTGTGACACATTTTACTGAACTAATGTCCCCTTTTGCCTTGTCAGATATATTTCATGAACTGTCTTTCAAATCCATCAGCATGAATCTGTGACAGCATGGGCATCTGCTCACCATCCACACACAGGACTCCTCTGCCCACAGCCCCTCCAGCATCACCTAACTTAACCGCAGCCTTGGGTTAGAACATGTCTGGACCAGCTTTGCATTGGATATGCTGTCACCCCACACAGTGCCAACAAAAGCTGCCTGAAAACACAGACCTGAGATTGTGTGCTGTGAACTGTCATGTTCGGACCGTAAGCACAAAGCTTCCTGCACATAGGTTTCATTAGGGACAATGAAGGTTGATGATTTCTCCCATAACTCCTCAGCATCTGTCAGTCCAGCAGCAGTGTATCTTTGGATTAGAACAATTTTTATTCTAAACAAATGCTTGGTTCTAAAATTTTCTGGTTGAGCTGCTTAAATTTCATCTCTAAAAACGTAACATGAATTTTGGCTTAGGCTTAGGACATAATTCCAGCAATTTCTGAGATGGCCCCAAACATACTTCTACCACTTTGTACTATGAATTTATATGAAATAGCATCCTCAGAACTGGCGATTATAAAATCAGAATATCAGCCAACTCTGAAAAACACTGATGAGGTTTTCAAATAGTCAGCCAAGATTTCGTCCTTTATATAAAAATAAGCAGTTATCTCATGAGTTTGTGAATCTGTCCTCATCTTTAATGTTAAAATTACATGTATGCTAAAGAAAAGTTGTGATTATTAGTAAACACTTATGTTCTATGTCTTAGATAGTCTTATTATATAGCTCTGGCTGTCCTGGAACTATGTAGACTGATCTCCAGCCCAGAGATCCACCTTCCTGAGTGCTGGGATTAAGGGTACACACCACTACACCACCATCTTATAAATGCTTGATTTATAACTTCATAGACTTACATACCTGAGATCACCTGAAAACATCTCGGGTGAAAAGCAGCTGTGAGTGGAAAAAAAGCCACGAAGCCTGTCCTAAGTTAATGATACAGAATACGGGAGGAGCTCCATCTCTCCAGTCTGTGTAACGTCCCCCACTGTAACATTCAAAGCCTACCTTGAGGGGTTGGTCTGAAGAGATGGCTTGGTGGTTAAGAGCACATACTGCTCTTGCAGAGGACCCAAGTTCGGTTCCCAGGACCTACATTGGTCATCTCACAACTACCAGCAACTCCAGCTCTAGGGGATGACAATTTGGATCTGACATCTGCTTCTGAACTCCAAGGACACTGCATTTACACACATCCTCGTCAGTCTCTCTCTCTCTCTCTCTCTCTCTCTCTCTCTCTCTCTCTCTCTCTCTCTCTCTCTCACACACACACACACACACACACACACACACACACACACACACACACAGTTTTAAAATTAAAAATCTTTTTTAAAAACAACTTTGCCAAAAGCAGAGGGCATACAGCTCCTCTCTCTCCTCAGTGGCAACAGGACTGAGGCCCGTCCTGTCACGAGTCTCTGTGGACAGACGGTCACAGAGGCCCCTGCAGGTGTCACACTGTACTTGGGGCTCTAGGGATAAAAGATAAAGCTGAATAAAGGAGGGAGAGGGATAGAATACTTTCTTGGTCATGGTGGTCTGGCAAGGTCTCTCGGTAGAAGTGGCATGTGAGCAAAACGCCAGGCTAATGTGAAGTCATGTGACTGGGACTATAACAATTTAGGAATTCTATGTTGAAGCTCCATTGGTGCTGAAAAGCCTAGACAGGGCTCCCACCAGTTCAAGACGGGGTGGTGTGGGCGCACATGCGCTCGTAACTGCAATGAAAACAGGCACCTGGTTCAGGAGAACGGTCCCAAAGAGAGAGTAAGGAGCCCACACCCGCCCTGCTAAGCTTCGGACAGTGCTCGCTCGCTGGACGTCCCCTAAGGGTGTGTGTATTGAAGGCTTGGTCACTGGGTGGTACCACTGGGAATGGTAGACCTGCAGGAAGTGAGGCCTATGGGAAGGTGCCTGGGCCCAAGGTCTTCAAGGTGCGTTTACACTTTTCCACCATGATGTGATTTCTTCAGAGAGGAAAGGAAAGCAAGGTGGGGGCGGGAATCGTGACCTTGAATATTGGACTTCCTAAACTGGGAGCTAACCCTTTTCACTAAGATAGTGGCCATGTGTACCATGTTGTATGTGGCACTGGGACACTAAGAGGAGTACCCAACCAATGGGTCAGAGGTCAGCAGGCACAGGAGTCTGTCAAATGCCGTAATACTGGTTGAAAAAGTATTCTTTATTTATAAAACAGCAACAATGGGTGGAAACACTGCGATTTTTAACTGAGGGTCCCTGTCCTCCTCCCTAGAGGGGCTGTCCATCAGTCATCTCAGGGGAGAGCAGGCTTGCCTCAAAAGTCAAATTCTTGGCTTCTGAGGTTAATTTATTTAGAATTTTGGAAAGCTGGAGCAGAGGCGATGGATGGATGCCAAAGTGCCTGGACTCTCAAAAATGGGTTCCGGAGAGAGGCTTTATTTGGTTTATTTTTTTCACAGTTCTAAAAACTTAGCATAGCCTGTTCATGGCAGACCTCCTACATTCTGAAGAGTTTATGAGTAAAGTTAAGGAGAGGGAAAAGAACTATGCTGATAAAAAGCAATTTTCCATCCAAACAGAGATAAGTGTCCAAGCAGTCAGGCTGGTGGGAAGCTGGGGCTAGCAAGTCTCAGGCCGTGTGGGCAGCAGGCTACAGGGACCTCAAAACTAAGTGTGAGCTCCACTGAAAACCCATCCATGCCAGGCAGTGGTGGCACACACTTTTAGTCTCAGTACTCGGGAGGCAGAGGCAGGCAGATCTCTGAGATCGAGGCCAGCCTGGTCTACAGAGTGAGTTCCAGGACAGCCAGGGCTACACAGAGAAAGCCTGTCTTGAAAAGTTAAAAAGAAAAAAGGAAGAAAAGAAGAAAGGAAGAAAGGAAGGGAGGAAGGGAGGGAGGGAGGGAGGGAGGGAGAGAGAGAGAGAGAGAGAGAGAGAGAAGAAAATCCCACACCCAGACACAGGAAGGTCATGTGGGGATAAGTTGGCCGAGTTCTACCACGCATACATCAGGTGGCCCTCAGGAAAACTGAAGCCATCTGTGGGGAGCTGATGACAATTTGATCCTAGAGGTGAGAGAATAAGTCAAACGGCCTTTAATCCCAGCACCCAGGAAACAGAAGCAGGTGATCCCTGTGAGTCTGAGGCCAGCCTGGTCTACATAACAAATTCTAGGACAGCCAGGGCTACATAGAGAGACCCTGGTGTCAAAAAAAAAAAAAAAAGAAAGAAAAAGAAAAAATTAAAATTAAAAATAAACGTCCAGCCGGGTGGTGGTAGGTAGCACACACCTTTAATCCCAGCACTCGGGAGGCAGAGGCTGGTGGATCTCTGTGAGTTCGAGGCCAGCCTGGTCTACAGAGCGAGATCCATGACAGGCACCAAAGCTACACAGAGAAACCCTGTCTCGAAAAGCCAAAAAAAAAATATAAAAAATAAATGTCCAACTGAATGAGAAGTCACCTAAGACCCTGGAACTAAAGGATTCACTCAGGCCCCTCAGAGGAGCAGAGAGAAGATAAGATGGTGACTGGGGTCAGGAGGCTCTGTGCACAAAAAGGTCAGGTGATAAGGGGTTACCTCAGCCGGCTCCTCCAGTCATCCATCCTGCACCAGCTTCCACACGTCTCCACTAAATGCCGCTGATCGCAGTGGGCATGTCATCTGAGGGAGGTGGCCTCCATAACGGACGGTGAAGTGTGGCTACCAGGGCAAGTGGGCTCAGAACCAGCCTAGTCCCAGGGGACCACGTCAGCCCTGGTGGAAGGAAGATGTAGGATGGGGCCTTCCAAACTAGGGCCCAGCTGTGATCTCGGTAAAAGGTGTCAATGCATGAGCATGGGGCCCCGATGAGGAAGGAGGGCTCTACAAAAGCTGGGGTGGGGTGGAGTGGGGCAGGGGGTGCAGAGAGGCCCAGGTGTCTGCAGGCAGGAACACAAGCCACGTTAGCCTAGAGCTGAGGCTGCTCTGAGAGAGAAGGAAGTCGGGGAGAGAAAAGGAAGAGGCTCCCGAGAGGCATCTTAAACCCCGAGTCACTGAGGATCTGGGGTGGGGAGTGAGTTCGCTCCACCCCACAACTTAGAGGAAAAACGCTTGGGTCGTCTTCTCAGCTCTGGAGAGAAAAAATGATACAGCTCCTCTCTTCGTTGTGGGAACTAAGGTTTTCAAAGCGCTCTGGTGAGATGGCTGTGTCCAGTCTTCGAGCAGTAACGTGACAGTAGAGCTGGGCCTGCTCCGACCATGGAACTATGAATTTCACATGCTGCCCGTGCTGCTCGGCTGGGGCAGAATCAGCAGGACAGAATGCTGGGAGTCTGAGTCCCCAGCAAGGGCATGCCTCCCAAGCCTGGGTGACTGACATCCCTCCATTCTGTGACCTTGCCTCAGGGTTTCCTCCACAGCATCACTGTCTGCAACTGATCTCTTCCCGTTCTTAAACCACGAGTTCCGCAAGCCTGGAGCTCTGGAGGTCTCACTCACTGTTCTTTGCATCCCAGTGTTGGCCAGATACCTGCAGTGTGGTACTCACACAGCATCAACAGAAGCCACAGCAGCCCCTTCCCTCCCCTCCGCCAGCTCCATGTCAAATAGCCCCTTCACTCACACATACCCACCAAAACTCTGGGCATGCTGGGGCAGTGGCTCCAACCCAAGTGGCCAGGACATCGCCCGGCAGTTTACAGGCCATGGACATTGGCCATGGACAAAGGTCCTACATGCAAGGGTTTTGTTTGTTTGTTTGTTTTTGTTTTATCATCAGTCATATTTACAGAATCTCACATTCAGAACAAAACAAAGTATCTACAAAGGACCACACAGGTCTGCCTGAAAACAAACTGGTTCATACAGACGGGCCGGGCCGTGAGGGCCATCTCGGGAAGCTAGGGCAGAAGCTGAGGCGGCTCACTGCACTCTGGGGCTCCATCTTCCCAGGACGAAGGCAACCATGGCCCAGGTGGTGACGATGCTGCAGACTCTGTAAGACAAGGACACAGATGAGGCCTGGACGGGGGCAGGGTCTGCCTGGGGACCAGGGCGACCAGCACAGGCCCTGCTCTGCATTCTCTCCTCCCAACGCTGTCCAAAGGTCCTTCTTCCCCCCGCCCCCCACCCTTGGAGACAGGATCTCAAGTATCCCAGGCTGGCCTCAGACTTTCTATGTGGCCAGAGATGCCCTTGAACTCCTGGTCCTCCACATCCCAAGTGCTGGCAGGTGTGGACCACCGCATTTAGTTTAGGTGATGCTAGGGAATGAAGCCAGAGCTAAGCAAGCGCTCTGCCAGCTGGGCTACACCCCCAGCACAGATGTCATTTCAACCCTTCTCCAGGCGCCAATGGAGTCTGCTTCTCGGGGTCAATAGAGAGACTTCCCCAGAGCTGTAGGTCAGAGACTGGCGGGACAAGAGGCTGTCCACAAGCAGACTGTCCATGGCTCCCGAGTCCTCTGGAGCCTCACAAAGCCCCCAGTCACTGGGGCCCCAACCTCAAACACGACTTAACCCTTCTCAGGGCTGCTGCATGCTTGGTCCCCTCCCTCACCCAGGCTGGACCATTTCACAGCTATACTTGCTCCCTGATGCCCCTCCCATCGGCACAGGAGGCGGCAAGGCTTTGCAAATGGGAGTTGGATTATGTCCTTCCTCCTCTCAATCCCTCAACACTCGGTTTCTCCCGTATCCACAGCCCTCACAGGCACAGACCCCACCGGATGGGACCCATTCCTTACCTGATCCCTTTGCTGGTTCCCTTCACTGGCCCTCTGCTCACCAGGCACCTCCACTGAAGGGCTGCTGCCCCCTGCCTGCCTGCATTCCCCACAGCCTGGCTCACTCCTTTCTTCCCCGAACCCTACCTCGAATCCTACCGAGACTCCCATCATCTCCTCTGCACCCCTCCCCTCGGTTCTCTCCCGGTCCCCACCCTTCCCTACATTTTTATATGCATGGCACTAATGCCACATACAGTCCACTCAGTTGCTTATCACATTCCTGTTACCTCCCAACTAGCTCAGATTCCACTTTGGTTCACTGAGAACGCAGGGCCCAACACTCCAGTGGGATGTTCTGAATGAGTAAGCGTTGCTTCACACCTATCAGCAACCGCTTGACAACTCAGAGCAGTTAGTGAACAGGGCCAGAATCAGACCAAATGGGACCTCGGCAGGCAGGTCACTCACTGTAACAGGCAGGTGATGTTGGGGGAATGTCTCCAGTACCGGTACAGGGAGACCTGCAGGGTTGGATGGCTCCTGTACTCCTTCAAGACACTTCGGACACTGCCAAAAGAAGTTTGCTCAAGTCAGCAGACAACGTGACCAGAGCCACTGAAGGCGAAGAGGCAGGGAGGAGGGGAGGGGCCGGGACTCAGGTACCTACTCCTTAAACTTATTGGTCAGGAGCAGGAACTGGCTTCGGGTGAACCGCCTGACGTCGAACTTGCAGAGGTTCTGGAACTCACGGTAGACCTGATGCTCGCTGACCCCAGGCCACCTCCTGACGGTGAGGATAAGTACAGGAGGGCGGATACTGGGGTAATCTGGGCCAGAAAAATTCTAGGAAAACAAAACCAAGAGAGATTCATGCAACTGAAAATGCTAAAGAACCTAGAAAGGGCTCTACCTGGGGCTGGAGCAGAAAGTAGAGAAGGAAGGAAGGAGCCAGTCTATGTGGGTTTTGACAGAAAAAACAGAAGAAACCAGTGTCATGGTGAGCACCTCCTCCTCCTCGGCTCCCACTGCATTGTCATCAGAACCCCGGAGCACATCCCGGGTGAGGGAGCAGAGTGGGCCATACTCACAATTTTAGGAACCCCAGCTCGGATAAGATTCACTTGGTTCACGTAAGGCGCCAGCACTTCGAGGTACTGAGGGAAGGTGGGCTCCTCGGCAGGACCACTGCTGCAGGGACAGAGAAAACCCTGAAGCCCTCAGGCACACAGGTTTCTGTGCAGGTCCTCAGTCATAGCTAAGGCTCTGGGGGAAAGACAGGGGAGAGCTGCCTCAGGAACCTCTTACCACCTCTCCCAAGTCTTGGGGCACATTTTGGTGGGCTTCCCTCACACATACAAGCAGAGTCTGGACCAAGAGCTTCTGGTCTCTGCTGACCAGCTACTGGCAGCAGGTTCGGAGAATGAGGGGTCCTTGTTTGGAGGAAACTCCACTTTATCCTCTCTAAAGTGACATCGCCCTTGACTCCAAATGGCCATCCATTGCCACCAGCCTTCCCACCAGCTGCACCCCAAATGCAGATCCCAGAGTCGGCAGGCCCGGACAGCCATGAGCTTCTCTAACCTGAGAAGGGTTTTCCAGTCATGAAGCTAAAAGGGACAAAGGGAGCGAGGCCCGGCCCCAGGCCCTGAGCCACGCTGCCCCAAGCAGCTCACTCTGTGCCAGCACACAGCACCTGCCAGCGAGCACCTGAATGCTGCCCCATCAGAGGAGAGAGGGAGACCAGCCGGCAGGCTCCTCACATTAGCTATAAGCCTCACATCAATATGTCACACAGCATTTGTATTTATGTCTGTGGCCAAAAGAGACCAATTAAGGCGGTTCTTAAATGAACAGATCATAGTTCAAAACATTTCTAGGCCAGTCCTGGAGAACAGGTCACAACGGCGATAGAATCCTTCTGTGGGTACCAAGTCCTACTGAACTAACGTGACCCACTAACAGCTCTGTCACACATCAAAGGTGCTGTTGGTGCTCACATGCTCGGGGGCATCAGGATGTCACCACCAGGGGCAATGCATTCATGTTCTGATTTGGGTTTCAGTGCTCCTCCATCCAGGCACCTCTCCTGGCCACCGTGCTCCCTGCCATCTTTGTGGACCCCTGTGATCTGTCTTTCATCTGAACATCTTGTCTTCTTGCCCACTGTCATTTCCAATAGCTGTGAGAACACTCGGAGCTGACAAAGCCCAGGCACTGAGCCAGGACGTTCTCTAGGAGGAATTAGGACTCTAGTCAAACCCTGCTGTGTGGGTCCCCAATTTCCCCATTGCCGAGACAGGGGCAGGACCCAGGCAGGAGGCGGGGAGGCAGGAAAGGGCTCCTTGGAGCAGACTGCTTGCTTCAACACTGGCAGGCTCCGGGTGAGAAACCCACAGAAACACATTCCTTCTATTTGGTGGTCCTGTGACCCAGAGGTCCTGGTTGAGACCTGGGGACTTGGTAACAGGACGGAAGGGAGGACACTCACCCATGCACCCTCTGCAGGAGCAAGTGCGCCACTTTCAAGAGAACTAGAAGAAAAAGCAAGAGAAGTAACCGGTCTCAAGGCTTGTGGAAACGTGCAAACTCAACCCTATGTGCAACCCAACATGGACCCAGCACACATCACCAGAGCTGACCGCCCTTCTGAGGAACACGTTACCTGACCCGCAGAGGAAGGCGTCATACGCTGCTTCATGGGGGCACTTGGTCTCGGCTGAAGTGGTTTTCCAAAAGAGAGGAGACAGATGGTGATTAGAACACATCGTGAGGAAGAAGTCCCTCTCCCCATCCCACTCAACCACCATGGCAGTTGTGGCACACGCTGTGTGCCCTTCTCCTGCTCATAAACATTTGTCACCCTGGTCCCTGCCATGTAGAGATGGCAGACTATACCCCACACGTTAAGAGAAATCAGGTTCCTGTGACCTGAACGTTCTCTGGGTTAGCATATCTGGAAGGCAGAGTTGTGTGGAGCAAAGGAAGGCAGGCCAGGAAGGAATGCCCACCAAAACCTCCACAGCCTGCTGCCCGGGGGACCACAGAACCTTCAGCTTGGCCCCAGGGCCCTTGGCCAATTGTGCGAAGGGCCAGAGCTCAGGGACATACCGTATTTTTTACACTGTCTCGCATGAATAATCACTGGTCCAGAATTCTGAGTGGGATTCAAGTTACTATTGGGGGGAAAAAAGGGTGGGGGGTAAAAATTCAACTCACTGAAAGTAACTCCTCCTCTTGTCCCCAAGCTTCTTAAGTTATAAAGATAACACACTCAGCATATCCTTTTTAAAAGGTGTGGATCCAGTTGTGGTGGCGCATGCCTTTAATCCCAGCACTCAGGAGGCAGAGGCAGGCGGATCTGTGAGCTTGAGGCCAGCCTGGGCTACAGAGTGAGTTAAAGGACAGCCAGAGTTACAGAGAAACCCTGTCTCAACCTCCCCTCCAAAAATGTTTTAAGAATAAAAGGCATGGATCTAAGTATGGACAGATAAGGTCTTGATGAGACCACAGAACAAGAGAAAGATAAAAGGGACTCTAATTGGACTGTTCCAGGCTGTGGAAAACATCTGGACACCACATAAGCAGGCAGCTACCTGTCCTGTGGAGCTTGGAGTCTCTTGGTACAGAGATAACCACATCGTGTCCTGGGGAACAAACAGAAACTCCAGGGTCCCTCCAGATAGCGGCACCATCCAGGGTCCCTCCAGATAGTGACATCAGGTCGCCAGGCTGCCAGAAGCAGGTGGCACTGGAGGACAGTCTTGAGCCATGTGAACTAACGTGGCTGAAGGAATGAGTGGCAGTGTGCAAGCTGAGAAGAGCAGGTGGCAGTGAGGAGCAGATCTGGCCCTTGTGGAAAGCACAGCTGCAGGCCAGGTGGAAAGGTACTCCAAGGCACATGGAGACTTCCAAAAGCACTGAGATTACAGAGGCAAGAAGACAAAAGGGTCAACTGGGCTACACAGTGACCTCGGAGGCACCCTGGTCAACTTAGTGAAACCCTGCCTCAAAATAAAAATATTTTAAAAAGTGTTGGGATGTGGGCTCAGTGGTAGAGCGCTTGCCGACTGTGGAAAGGCCTTTGGATCAATCCCTGCACTGTAAAACCAACAGCTGGAAACAGCTGTGATTCTGAGAATGGGGAGAAGAGAGGTTATAGAGACAGCTACAGGGAAACAGCAATTGGACACCAATGAGTAGGTAGGTGTGGGTGGCACGGCTCTGAGACCACGTGGCTCTGGGCCCAGGCGGGTGACAGCATCTGGCAGTATGGAAACTTCTACCGCATTCGCTCCCACCCAGAATCTTTCCCACTTACGGATGCTGACCTTCTCTGGGCCATCATGACTGCCCCTGTGCCACGTACCGCTATCAGGGTCAAAAGGGTTGTCAACAGCAGTGACGGCTGCTAAGTTTCAACAAGCACAGACCAAGCCCAAGGCCTGTCCTCAGCCTCCCCCACGGCTGACCTCACCTGACCTCACCGCCACCTCCTGAGTTACATCAGGGTTTTACCTGCTCACTTCATAGATGGCGAGGCTGAGGCTTCTTCAAAGTAAGTTATGAAACACTGAGTGTCAAATCCTGGGTTTAAATCCAGGAAGCATGGGATCAGAGTTTGGGAGTTAAAAAAAAAAAAATTCAGGCCGGGCAGTGGTGGCGCACGCCTTTAATCCCAGCACTCGGGAGGCAGAGCCAGGCGGATCTCTGTGAGTTCAAGGCCAGTCTGGTCTACAAAGTGAGTTCCAGGAAAGGCGCAAAACTACACAGAGAAACCCTGTCTCGAAAAACCAAAAAAAAAAAAAAAAATTCTCCCTTCACTCTAGTGCCCGCTTAATGGACACGTGGCCATCAGCATTGAGCCTGGTGCCCTAAAGACTCAGCAGATGTTGCAGGCCCTGGAATGGGCCTAAGGGACAAAACTGAATATTAAGTTGAAGATGTCTTCAGGTCATGCAGGGAAGAAAAATGGAGAAGGAAGATGGTAGAGGACCTTCTAGAGCTGCCTACCCTGATGGCTACAGCGGCAGCTCAGTGGCAGAGCTCTTAGCGCTAACACACGAGGCTCTAGGTTCAATCCCTGACACTTCAAACACACAAAAACAAAACACAAGAGGACAGACCAGGCAACTGTGACCTGCGGCTGCACAAGGGCAGTGTGTGGTGGGGACACAGGGAAGGAGGGGTGGAGGCTGCTGAAAAACGGTGCTGGGCAAGAGGGGGGCTGAGGAGGGACGGACACGGACGGACGGACACACACACACACACACACACATGCACACACACACACACACACACATCCTAGGAGATGAGGAGAGACACAATTAAGGAGACCAACCAGCCCTCCCACCAGAAAAGAGAAATCCAGAGCACCTCCGACAGAGGAGAAGGCCCAAGCTCCGAGACGCTGTAAAGCAAGCCTTGACCCGCACAGGTGCCACAGCCTGTCCCTAATGCCTTATGTGCAACATCCTGTCAAGGCCCAGCATAGGTACCCTGAGTAACGGGTGAAGAGGGAGAAAACCTAACAGCCCTGGGCATTCGTGACACTGCTGAAGGAACCAAAGGCAAGGTGGGTAACTTGTCTCCAGGGAGCAGACATGCTGCCACACCAGTTTTAGGCACCTCACCAACGGCTTCCCTCCGGGAAGGAAGGTCTGACCCTTTTACTCCACATATTTCACACACGTCCATGACAAAGCCATAGGGGTTACCGTGGGAGCCAGGAAGAGGGCCAGAAAACGAGTAGCTTGGCTTTAAGTTTTAAGTGGTGATGGTAAGAGAAATGAGAGGTGGCGGCTTGGATCCCCAGGGAAGGAACACGTAGGCAGCGTCCAAGAGAAGGAAGATGGCGAGGAGAGGACAGTGAGCCCAGAGAGAGCAGCCCTGCAGGCCTCAAACAAGGGAGGTATGTGGGGTGCAGCTCAGCTGTTAAAAGTTCTACCCGAGCACCCCACAAAGCCAGGCATACCGGTACATGCCTGTAATCCCAGCACTGGGGGAGTAGAGAGAAGGTCAGGCCCGGGGGCTGGAAAGATGGCTCAGTGGTTAAGGACACTGACTGCTCTCCCAAAGGACCTGGGCTCAAATCCCAGCACCCACATGGCAGCTAATGACTATCTGTAACTCAAAGATCTGGCCTGCAGGCAAAACACCAATGCACATAAAATAAAAGTAAATAAAAATTAAAAAAAAAAAAAGGAGTAGTTCAGGCCATCCTTGGCTACTTGGGGGGTGGGAGAGTGGGGGGAGGCCAGCCTGGGACACCTGAGATCCCGTCTTGCTGGCGACAGGAGAGACAGTGGTAAAGATGACCTGTCAAGTGTTCAGGGAGACAGGCAGCAGGCTGACTTGGCCTCTGACCTCTGACTTTTTCTTCTCAGAAGTGGGGTCAAGAATGCTGTCTGAGGCAGGACAAAGGCATGAGGAGCTGTACCACAAAGTCATTGTTCTGTTGTCCAATGAAAAGCACGCCAATCACATACAAATACATCAAAACCAGGGGCCTTGTGCTGTGGGATGGTCTTTCTGTACGCTGTGAATATACGTTGCTCCCATTGGTTAATAAATAAAGCTGCTTGGGCCTATGGTAAGGGAGGAGAAGAGCCAGGCAGGAAATCCAAGCAGAGACACAGGGAGAAGAAGGGTGGAGTCAGGGCAGACGCCATCCATCTGCCCAAGGAACAAGATGCCAGCAGACCGGTAACACCATGGCCATGTGGCAAAATACAGACTAATAGAAAAGGGCTAATTTAAGATGTCAGAGCTAGCTAACAATAAGCCTGAGCCACAGACCAAACAGTTTGTAATTAATAATAAGCCTGTGTGTTTATCTGGGACTGAGTAGCTGCAGGACACAGGAAAACTTCCGGCTACAGGCCTGGACTTAGTTAAAACCAGAGAAAGATCTCAGGGGTCCCTTGTGGCTTGGGCAGCTGAGGCCACAGGCCTTGCTCCAGAAGCCCCTTCCTCACCTGCTCAGCACGTCATACACTTCTGAGAGGTTGGAGACTCGTGGGAAACGCAGTTCCTGCAATCATGAAGAATAGGGCACTGGGCTTGGGGTCAACATCTGCTACAGGCCTCACAAAGGGTCACTACCCGGACTTGGCAAATCCCAGCCTCAACACCTCCCCCCGCCCCCACCCCGGGGACCTATCTGCCCTGTTCCTTCTCCAGGGTCAGGAGACCAGACGTCCCGATAACGCTGGCTAGGAGTAAGTGTCACCCAGAGAACTCACACCTTCTGTTTGGGGAAGTCTGAGAACACAGGAATCTGAGACTTTGGACTAAGTCCGGGCCATGCATGCAGAATACCCGGCATTCTAGGATCAGAAGGTCTTGGGGTGACATCTGATCAGTAAGTCCCAAAATCAAAGATGAAGCAGGAGAAGGTCAAGTATTAAGGGCCTCTCTGGGCAACCCTGTACCAGACGGAGACCCCCTTCCGGTTCTGCTGCCCCTCCACCAACAGCCACTTTGAGCCACCATCCCGAGACTTTAGAACACTGATGGATTCCCCTGGCTGTTATTCTGTTTAATTCCTAAGAGCATTTAAAGCCATTCAATGCTTCCCTTTTCCACAGGTAGTGTGTGACCTGGGCTTCAGGACAGTCATGGGGGGGGAGCTTTCAAAATATCACCTGGCTCTACTCTAGACCACACATGAAGTGGACGGCAGAGCTGGGATCAGTCTGCAAACTCCCTTGTAATTTTGTCAGAGAACCCATGGCCTCAGTACTTCTCCAGACTTTATGAGGGGTCCCTCATCCTTTAGGCTGATCCTCTCTAGGCATCCCTCTCTCTAGGCATCCCTCTCCCTAGGCACCCCTCTCCCTAGGCATCCCTCTCCCTAGGCATCCCTCTCCCTAGGCATCCCTCTCCCTAGGCATCCCTCTCCCTAGGCATCCCTCTCCCTAGGCATCCCTTTCCCTAGGCATCCCTCACGGGTTTATAAAATATGTACTGAGCTCTAAAATAAGCTGTTTGGGCCAAGCATGATGGTATACACCTTTGATTCCAGTACGTGGAAGGCTGAGGCAGGAGGGCCTAGCCAGACCCTGTCTGAAGAACAGAACAAAACCCCCACAAAACTACTGCTCTGTTATCCAGTGAAAAGCACACATTTACACACAAAGACAACATAACTGGGACTCAGAATGTGTTCAAATCCAGAGAAAGGTGTCACCTGCGTAGACTCGACAGCCCCTGCCCTAAAGCAACCTGTTCATTACCTTCCAGATGTCCTTTGTCACATTCTTGGTGTCAATGAGGACAGGAAACAGGCTGTGGATGTTCTGCTTAAACTGATCGTAGTTTTCTGGGGGGGAAGGTCCAGATGGGGACGCGTGAATTTGTGGGCTCATGGGAATAACACAGACCCACCCTCGAGGCTAACTTGCCACCAGCGCTGACCGGTACAGCAGACAGAACAGACGAGGACTGGAAATATCCGTACCCCTCGTCCAGGGCTGTGACGCTCCAGACACATCACTACTGCCAGTTTCTATGGGAAAGGTCACCTGGCTTTTCCACCAAACTCCAGGCCCTACCTACAGCCACCATCGGCTAACACTGTCCAAGACAAAATCAACCCAACACCTTATAATTAAGAAAAGCACCCTGGTAGGAGAAGGGTTTCTGATGGGCCCTTGACAGGTTATACTCTGTGCAGTTACGCCGCATACAGCTGATGAGGCTTACTACAGACGGAACCTCACCACACACACTTCCCATACAGAGAGCCCTGGGACTCCCCCCACCACACTCCCCTTTCCTCCCCAACAGTAACTGCTGCCAGGTCCTCTCCCTGGGGCCCTTGTGCCCACCCGAGTGCCGTTTTCAGCACTGTGGTTTTTGATACCTCGCCGTTGACGTGTGAAAAGGTCCTGACCCCTCCCTTCCACCTGCCCACTGCCCACATTTCCCACAGGCCCCAGAGCGACAAGGACCGCTCCAGCTGCGGCGACTTCTCTATGTGCCTCACTTCCCCTCTCCCATGATAACTTTTCCTGTTTGCTCGGGCTTTCTGAGTGCCTCCTACTATCTGCCTTTGAATTCTCCAGTATGCTCCAACGTGGCTGTTCTTCCCAGGCCTGTTTTGCACAACTCCTTCCAGAGCTTTCCGCCCCTCTCCACCTAGTGTGCGGCACACCTTTCCATCTAGTGTGCGGCACACCTTTATGAATTCGCTTAATCCCGCCACCATGCCCAGGTCGCTACTGCCATCTCAACTCACTATGCTACCCTGCCATTTGTCCATCAACAGGCTCCAGCATGGAAAAGGAGCCTGGGCAGTCAGCGCTATGACGTCTGTTAGGTTTATAATGGCGTGAGGAGGAAAGGGAGCCTGAAGCTCAAATACAGTCTTCACAAGTATGTCAGGACTCAGAACAGAGGGAAAAGCCAAGGCACTAAGCCAGGAATGGTGGGCTCTCTGCTTCACACAGTTCCGATTTTGCCCAATGTCACAAGAGGAGGGTGTGTAATCACATTAACCCTCCTTGTGGAAGTCTCTTGGTCTCTACCCAGAAGACGGTACAGACACAGACCTGAGGTTAGCAGAGCACAGCCTCACCCCTACCTGGAAGAGGTCGGAAGAACTTCTCATGGAGATGCAGCAGGTCCATCATCATGTTATGTCCGACCAAGGGCTACTTGGAGTAAAGCAACAGGTAAGAGAAAGGGAATTCTAAACTCGGCTCTGACGCTGCTCAGTCTGGAATTGGGCTTTTGTTTCTTTCAATAAAGTCACAGCTCTAAATCACCTGATACTCCAGCATCGCTGTCTCTCAGCTCCCACTTAAGGTAAGGGGACTGCTGAGATGGAAGGAAATGGGGAAGGAGGGGGAGAAAGGGGGGAGGGGGAGAAAGGGGGAGGGGGAGAAAGGGGGGAGGGGGAGAAAGGTGGAGGGAGGAGAAAGAGAGGAGGGAGAGACAGAGGGAGGGAGAGAGAGAGAGAGAGAGGGAGGAAGGGAGGGAGAAAGGTGGCGGGAGGAGAAGGGGAAAAAGGCAGTGGAGAGAGAGATGGGAGGAGGAGGAGGAGGAGGAGGAGGAGGAGGAGGAGGAGGAAATGAGTGAACAGTGGAGACCTCAGGCAGGGTACACACTGGGACTCTGAGGAAGACACAGTTTCTCTAAGCAATTTTAGGTACTTGTTAAAATTCCTGTGCTGCTGCAAGGGACAAAACACAGGAGCATGTCACACGCATAGTCTTTCCTCAAACTGAGCCACCACAGGAAGACAAGGCTGGGTCCATGAAGTTAGTTAGCAAAAACAAGGAGTCACCTGAAAATTTTACTAGTAAGTCAGTCTATGTTCTATGGGTGTTTGGGCTGCATGTATGTCTATACATCATGTACGCCTGGTGCCCACGGAGGCCAAAGAGGGAGTCAGATCCACTGGAACTAGAATTACAAATGGCTGTGAGAGGCCCTGTGGGTGCTGGGAATCGACCCTGGGTCCTCTGCAACAGCAACAAGTGCTCTTAACCACAGAGCCATCTCCCCATCCCCCGAGAATCACTTATTGTAAAAAAGACATCTTTAATCTTTTCTTGGCCTTCTGAATAAGGTTAAGTAAAGAAAGATAATTTTATTGGCAGAGAAGCCTTCAAAATCCACCACCATTAATACAAAAGATGATGGGAAAAAACAAAAACAGGAAACACAGATGCTTCCTACCTTCTGGGCCTTCACCAACATCTGGAAGAAGACAGAGAAGCCCCTTGCAGAGAGAAGGATCTGCTCCTTCCAGCAGCTGACTTGGTCGCAAGAGGCGTGCTCAAGGTACCAGCGATGGGGCTGGCTGACCTTCTTCACAACCACCTGCCGTGAAGAGAGAGAGAGTGCGCACCTGGGGACGCAGCTGGAAAGCAGGCACCTCTTTAACACGGAACGAAGGGATGGATGGACAGACAGATGCACGGACAGACAGACAGACAGACCTGCCGTGAAGAGAGAGAGAGTGCGCACCTGGGGACACAGCTGGAAAGCAGGCACCTCTTTAACACGGAACGAAGGGATGGATGGACAGACAGATGCACGGACAGACACACACACACACACACACACACACACACACACACACACACACACACACGATAGAAGCCTTTCAGAGGCCAAATGTGGCTGACCGAGAGAGAGATGAGGGGCCACTAGGAAGGCACAGCTAGGTGAGGACTCACCCCCTCGTCTTTCAGCACTGTCCAGATGTTGGGGAGGGCCTGCCTCAGCACCAGTTGGACCTCAAAGGCTTGGAACCCTGCAGCGAGGAAGCACAAGGTACGCACAGACCCTGGGACACTATCAAACTTTCCAACTTTCCTTCCCCATGGAAGACGGCTGGAAGGAGTAAAGAGCTGAGAGCCTGTGACTAGTGGACTGCACCGGAAACCTGCTTCCAGGGCGCCCAGGCCACGTGCCTGCTGTCATGGTCTAGGGCCAAGTCCTCAAAGGTTGGGGTCTCAGGAATGCTCTTCAGTTGGGGACACTCACCTGGTGGTTTCTTTATTTTGCAGCTGTTGATATGAACCCTGTTAGAAACTGGTACTAGTTACAACTCACAAAAGGCACTTCATTAGCAAAAAGTTAAAAATAACACTTACGAAAAATAACTAGTGGGCTGGAGAGATAGCTCAGGGGTTAAGAGCACAGGCTGCTCTTCCAGAGGTCCTGAGTTCAATTCCCAGCAACCACATGGTGGCTCACAACCATCTATAGTGGAATCTGATGCCCTCTCCTGGAATAAAGGCATTCGTGCATACATACACACATACATAAAAGAAATAAAATCTAAATAAAAAGAAAGAAGCACAAAAAAATGAATACATCTAATAAAATTTTTAAAAAAAGAAAAGAAAAAGAAAAATAACTGTTTCTCAAACAAAAATATTTAGTAAATTGGGTGTGGTGGTGCATGCCTTTGCTCCTAGAACTTCAGAGCAGAGGCAACCAGACCTTTGTGAGTTTGAGGCCATCCTGGTCTACCTAAAAAGTTTCAGGCCAGCCAAGGCTACACAGTAAGATCTGTCTAAAGAAACAAAAGAGAAGGAGGGGCTAGAGAGCTCCGTCAGTGATTAAGCACACTTGCTGCTCTCGCAGAAAACCTGGGTTCTGTTCCCAGCACCCACATGGTGGCTCACAACCATCCCAAACTCCAATCCTGACGCCTAAGACATGCACATGGTGCACATATACACACGGAGGCAAAACACGCATACACATAAAATGAATTCTTTAAAAAAATCTTTTAAATACTACATTTAGGGGAAAGAGAAATACAATGTCTAACATCTGCTGGCATCACATCCACTTCTGCATCTGATCTACTGTGCTATGGTGTGGTCCTTAAACACTAGAAAATGAAACAAACAAACAAAAAGACCAAAACCAGGCCCAACAGATCCGATGGCGGAAAAGAGAAGGTCGCCAGTCTCAAGTGACTCTGGGGGCTGGGAGGCTCTTTGAGGCTTTTTGGGGGTGGAGCTTTTGCTTGTTATGAGACAGGGTCTCACCATGTAGACCAGGCTGGCCTGGAACTTGGTATGTAGACCAGGTTGGTCTGGAGCTTGTAGAGACCCACCTGCCTCTGCCTCCCGAGTGCTGGGGTGTGCACCAGGCTGCTGGCTGCGTATGGTCTTTGTATGCTGTTTAACGTTCACTAATGGTAATCCCTTAGGTACTGGCTGTTACTAAGGAACTTCGTCACTGGGTGGCACGAGACCCACTGGCTTGCCCTGGGCCTTGCTTTTAGAACAGCATAAGCCCATTACTCGGAAGACGCTGGCTTGCGGTTCTGTCTGTCTTCCAGATGCTCACACAGTTCACTAGGCCAACACCAATAGAAAGCATGAGTGCACACAGCCACTGACCTCATCAGAAAGGTCACTGTTGAAAGGCTGTCAAGCTTATGGCAACGGATCCAAGTTTCTGTTTTGTGGTTTTTGTTGGGACAGTCTCAGGTAGCCCAGGCTGGCCTCGAACTCACTATACAGATAAAAGGACCCTGAACTCCTGATGCTCCTGCCTCCACATCATGTGTGTATGGCCACATCTGATTTTATGAAGTGCTGGGGATTGAACCCAGGGCCTGGTGCATGCTAGGCCAGTACTCTACCAACTGAGCTACAGTCTCGCTCTCCTACATACCTGTTTCTTACGGCTAGCAAACCCAGAGTCTTAAAGTGACAGGATTTTCCATTTGAGGAAAATGACTGCAAACACCCAGGTCAAAATAACTTCGGGTCTAGATCATTTCCAGTAGAAGTTATATTCCACTAAAATAAAAAAAGAAGAGGTTGGCAAGATGGCTCAGTAGCTAGGAGTACTTGCTGCATTTGGTTCCCAGCACCCACAGACCAGCTCACAACCATCTGTAACTCTAGCTCCAGGGAATCCAGTGCCCTCTTCTGTTCACCTTGTGTACCAGACACACATGCGGTGCACATACACAGATGCAGGCAAAAGAACAAAAGAGCCACACACATAAAACAACAAATGCTAAAAAGAAAAAAATTCTTTTTTGCAGCAGAAACAGCTGAGGCTGGAGATGCCACTCAGTGGTACGTACTTAGAATGCACAAGGCTCTGAGTTTGATCTCCACTGCATGCACACATGCACTCAGCTGATCCAGGTCTCTACTGAAAACGCTACCCAGGTGCGCATCCCCAACACAGCCACTCCGCTTATTTTTCTACACTTAGGCTGACACACAGAATTTAAGTAAAAGGTGACCAAAGGCTGGGGCTTGACAAAACTGAGAACATTATTTCCCACCAAGGAGGGTCTTGCGTAAAGTTTCCTTTCCGACCCGAGCGGCCGGGGAGAGTACAGTGGCTACCAGCAGAGGTTGAGCCGACCACAGCTTGTACCATGGTGCAGGTGGGTTTCACCACATCATCACGGCACAAAAGCATTAACATGTCATGGCCAAGCAACACTTTGAAGATCGTTTCGACCTCACAGACTCTGTGGCAAAGGGTCCACAGACCATGCCCTGAGCACTGCTACACTAGGTCATAAATTGCTGTAAGTTACTAAAACAGGCACTCCAGTGGGATGGAAATGATCGGCTCAGGGGTGATTCTTACCCTTGACACTCAACGCAGGTTAAAAAGCCTTTGAGACTTGGGAATTCAGGTCAGGACTTTAACCCCAAGGATTAGCTACCTACTGAGCAAATATCTCAGACTCAGTCATGAGGCATCTTAGATCAGGACTTATAGGAAAGAGAATATCCTCCCCACCTCCTGGTACATGACACCCCCATGCTCCCAGATGGGGAGGAATGGCCTCCTGCCTACCAGAAATGCCAGACAGAGTCATCTGGTCACCTTCCTCAGCCAGGTCCAGCCACCGAGTCACCTTGTCAATCACCACCTTAATTTGGTCTTTATCCAGAGAGCTGAAAATGGACACAGGAAAGCAGAAATGTTGGCAGAGATCACACCAGACTCCTAAGACAATCCTAAGACTAACGTGCCTGGAACCTCTGCTTTTAACGCTGTGACCTCATAGTGAAAATTAACAGCAACAATGAAAGTGGTCATTTGTTCTCCGCATCTTTTCGTGCAAGAGGAAGGCAAGCTCTCATCTCTGCTCTTCAGAGGTCCACAGGAATACAAGCCAGCTTTGATGGGGTGGAAGAAGAGCAAGGGCCCTGCAGTGAGCGCACACTACTGTCAGGATGTCCGTCTGCGCTCCCAGAGGATCTGTAATGAACTGGCTGGAAACATGAGGACAAGACAAGGACATGGGCGAATCCTCTGCTTGTCTGTCAGAAACCGAAGCTCTTTCTTCAACACTTGAAAGTAACAAAAGATTCGAAATTCAAACTGGGGTCTGGAGAGATGGCTCAGCGGTTAAGAGCACTGGCTACTCTTCCAGAGGACCCGGGCTCAATTCTCAGCACCCACATGGCAGCTCACAACCATCTTTAACTCCAGTTCCAGGAAATCAGACACTCTATTCTGGCCTCCGTTGGTAACAGGCACACACTGGTGCAGCCATACATGCAAGGTAAAACACCCACGCATACAAAATAACTTTTAAAAAAATTCAAATTGTTTTCCCTCTATTTTTATTCTTGAACCTTGAGGACCGTTTAATTAGCGTTTGAAGGGGAAAACAACAGGGCATGCAAGCTGTGAATCCAGGCAGCAGCTGTGGGGGAAGCAAGACAGAGGAGGCAGAGAGCCAGCTGCGCCTGCCTTTGGAGTTAGGGTTCAAGAAATCAAGCAGACTTGGCAATGGAGGTCGGCAAGTGGCTCAGGGGAGGGGAGAGGCTTCAGAGAGACAGTGGGAAAGGCCACAAGGTCAGAGCAAGCATGCTTAGAATCCTGGCAGGTATCCAGAGAAAAAAGGGAAAGTCACCCCCCTTTGAAAAGCAGGCAGGCTTTAGCAGTGAAGTTCTGTAAGTGACTTCCTGTCTTTCCTTTCAAAAAACCTACACTTTTGTATGAACATCAATACTAAATACAAAAAAAAAAAAAAAAGTTAAAAAAAAAAACCAACAACAACGAAACAAAACCACCAAAATATCAAGATTATCCAGGCCATGTGCAAACCACACTTCAGATCAAGGCTAATTGATTTTTCTTTCTGATGAAGGTGAAAAATCTCAATCCCAAAGCACTAAATAGTTCAAAACTGGCAACTAAGTGGTGGTCATAGCTCACCCCTCCAGACCCAAGCTACCACCTCACTGCGGTCACTGTGGACCTTAGTGCAAACCTGTGGGAGGCTGCCAGGTCTGGGCCTGCCAAAGGAGGCCACTTTCTCCAGCGACACAGACAAGGCCCGTGCTGAGCAGGGTCAGGCCGGCTAGGGCCCACACAGACACACTGGAGTCTTAGCGCCCTCTGTGCTTCCAACAGAGCTATCTTGTGAATCCCTCAGCTCACACCACAGACTCAATTCCTGTCTCTTTTGAGTTAATAAACTTAAGAGTTCATTTCTTTCTTCCCTTTCTGTTTTTCTTTTTTAGAGATGAGGGTCTTCCTATGTAGCTCAGGCTGGTCTGGACCTCACAATCATCCTACCTCACTCTCTTGAGTGCTAGGGTGACCAGTGTGTCCCACCATGTTGGATCCTGTATGTGAAGGTGCTGGCAGTGGGAGAGAGAGCAACCTGTCCTTTCTCGAGTATTCTCTACCACTTTGTGAGAGAGTCTGTCTCTCACTGGCCTGAATCTCACCAAGTCCACTAGGCTGGACAGCCAGCAAGCCCTAGGAATTCAATTCTCTCTGCCTCCCCAGTGCTAGGATTACAAACACATTTTAAAAACATATGTTTTAAGGATCAAACTGGGGTCCTCTGAGGCAAGCATTTTAGTAACTGAGCTTCACCTCCCAAACCACGTTTTTTAATTTTCAAGATTAATGTTCACATGGGAGTTGAAAGGAGATGGGAAAGAGTTTCGGCCTCTCAGGAAAGTACAGGCGGCCAAATCCGTCCCAGCTAAGTGTGGATGGATGGGCCAGCATCCCCATCTGGAGAGGAGGATGGAAACAGCAATAGGAAACCAAAGGCACGTGGGAATGTGAACCCTACCTTCGGACTCTCCAGTTCCCTCTCAGGATACTGTGCTTAATTTTCTTCTCCTGTTCTTCATTCATATATGGGATTCCATTTTTGAGGAACTGAAGACGGGAACAGAACAAGATGACTAGTAAGAGCTGTCTGAGGGCCGGGCAGCAGAGTGAGGGGGAACCCCTTGGCTTCATGTAGACAAGGGGTGGGGGATGGCGACTCAGAACATTCAGAGTACCCCTCCACAGCCACGGCCCCCTTCTCCAGGTTCATACCTTGTTATAGTCGAAGCCATACTGATTCAAAAACTGAACGCTAGACGCCTGGAAAGAGAACTCTGAGTCCAAGATCCCAAACGTTGTAGGAAAGAGAAAGAAGTTACAGGAGTGGGCTACATACCTATAAAAGAGAACGTGATGAGAAACCTCAAACTAGAACAGGACGGACAGAAAAACCAGCCAGGCTCATACATCATCGGACCCTGGGGTGGGCTAGATTTCATTTCTTAAGTATCTATATGTTTTCTGAAGGCTGGATGTATTTTAGGTGCTCTATGTAGGGCCAAAGAAAATAAGCGATGATACTATCCTCGGGGAGCAAAGTCTAAAGCAGAAGTAGGCCCATGGCCCACTCAGAGGATCCCGATGTTCAGCCAGAGCAGCTGGGAGGTGACCCCCAACACACACAGGGTCAGCCTCCTGCAGCAGCTTCCCGGCAAGGGTGTCCCCAAAGATGCAGCATTCTTTTGACTGATGGTGCCTGAGGGCTTCCAGGCAGCTCAACATCTCTCTGGATGTCAGCACACTTTTACTAACTCCCCGAAGATGCACGAGGGCCAGCTGATGGAAATGAGAGCCAGAACACTTAAGACACAGGCCAGGAGAGGCCCCACAGGAAAGGTACTACTGCCAATCTGCAGAGCACGGTATGTATGCAAGAGCCAGAAGTCAGAACAGAGTGTCCAGGACAGAGTGATTCACACGCCCAGGGCAGGGCTGCCAAGCACGGACGGGAAAAGCTGTGTGTGTTATAGTCGTTATACATACTTGTTGGACTCTCCTTCAATGCTGGAGAACACAGACAGTCCTAGAACAGCAAAAGCAGAAGTAATGAATGCCGAGGCAAAGCCCCCTGATGTCAACCAAAGACCAAACCTTCCCGCCCACGCTTTGCACCCACAGACACAGAGTGGGCTGCAGAAAAGGCAGGGGTACAAAACCTTACTGAAAAACAGACTTGCAGCGTGAGACCTGCCATACCACAGCTTGTGCTGAAATTACCAAAATGTAATGGTGGCCAGTTTTCCAAGCACAAGAAGTATTAGATCAGCATTTTCATAGCTTTCAAAGGAGTCAAGAGTCAGGCCCAATGGCACACACCTGTAGTCCCAGTACTTGGGAGGTGGAGGCAGGAGGATTAGAAGTTATTCCTTCTTCAGAGGCTAAGGCAGGAAGATTTTTGTAAGTTCGAGGCGATCCTGGGTTTCGGTATAAGATTTTGTCTCAGGAGAAATGGTTCAGTGGGCAAAGGCACTTACATGTAAGCCTGGTGACCTGATTAATCCCTGGAACTGATTGTAAGGGCGGAAGGTAGAATGTACTCCACCAAGTTAGCTTCTGATCTCCACACGTGTCCCACACTCATAAATAAGGAATAAACTTTAACTCAAAAACCCACAAAAAAGACAGATTTGATTACTTTAAAAATCCCTGTATTACTAAGTAAATAAGCCACTCAAAGTGGAAAATTTCCAAAGTTCTCTACAGAACAAAAAAACTTAAGAGCAATTTCTTGTACTTCTCAAATATATAAGAAAAAAAAAGGCAGCAAAGTCCAAAAACAAAGGAAAGCAGATGTGCACACACATAAATGTTTCTCTCCAGAGAAAGCAGATGTGCACACACATAAATGTTTCTCTCCAGAGAAGGCAGATGTGCACACACATAAATTTTCCTCTCCTGAGAAAGCAGGGGTCCGTAAAACTTGGCCCAGAGCTTGTATCTGTAATTCATCTTACTGAAAAAGTCAGGACCCCTATTACAAAGGCAGGCCTTGTAGAAGAAATCACATCACCTGCAAAACTCTAGGTACTATCTAGTCCTTCACATAAAGCTGTTGACCCCAGTTATTATAAAATGTAAATCAGAATAAAACTAAGAGCAGTTTTTAGACTATCAGGTTGGGTTAAAAATTTTCAGACTTTCCCAGGGTTTTTGTATGGGAATGTACACTCGCTGTTGCTGGTGTCGGTCACTGAAAACATTGTGAACGACTGGCAGTATTCACCAACACTGGAATGCACACACTCTAATTCTGCAGTCTCACTGATAGAACTATTCCAGGCACACAAAGTGCAGTCGTGTGTAAATATGAAGGCTGTCAATATTGCAAATGCATTTAATTATAAACAAACAGTTACTAAATAGACCTTATTTAGGACACTAAGTCCTAATCTGTAGTTTGTAATACCATGGAACTGTGAAAATGCCTAGGTTTGTATGGGAACTCAGACTTCCAAACTCTATCAAATAAAGAAAAAACCAAAAATCCAAAGTTTAAACTATGTGTACAATCCTGTTCCTGGAGGTTTTCTTTTAAAAAATCATATACACTGGGGCCGGGGAGATGTCTCAGTGGTGACAGGGGATCTGTTCCCAGCACCCACATGGTGACTCATATCCATCAGTAACTCCAGTTAGAGGGGATCTGACATCCTCCCCTGACCTTTGTGGGCATCTATACATATGCAGGCAAAACACTAAAGACATAAAACAAATCTAAAAAAAATTTAAATCGCATATACTCACTGACACATACATTTTTGCTCAAATGATGGAACAGGTTTAACAGTGATTGTCCCTGACATTGGTTTGTCTAGACCACAAAATAATGCTGATAAATTCTTGCTTGGTCAAAAGCCACCCCCACCACCTTTCACACAGTAAACGCTACAAGTGGCACACACACACACACACACACACACACACTCACAATGAAAACAGAACAAGCATACAAAACGACACACAATATCTTTGAAAACGGTCAAAGAGCAACAGGAAACCTACACAGTAAAATAAAAAACCTTGAACGATCCACAACAAAGAGCTGAACATCAGACTCACCAATCTGACAGATTGTAAATTGCTGAACACTCTGACGGGTCTTCACATACCACTCAGACGGCAAATCAAAAAGACTGTGAAGAGAGAGGCATCTCATGGCACCAGCAAGGGGGGTCAGATGCCGGCACAAGACCTCTGGGGCAGGCTCAGCTACTCTCAATCAGGGCCCGGTTGTCCTTGTTACCACAATTAGGGAACATGTACTAGCACTTGGCCAACAAAAGCTCTCTCTCTCTCAACAGGTGGGAGCGACCCATCAAAAAAATACCCCACACAGGGTGTCATTAACGAGACACAGGCGAGGAAGGCTCCCCTCTGTGGGCTGCTAAACAGCAGCAGTACCTGATCTGCTGGGGCCGGGACAAGTTTGAACGCAGACCTGTGAACTCTATGTCGAGACCTACGGGAGAGCAAAATAGACCTCAGGCACAGAGCCAGCCACCGCCTTTCACACTGTAAGTGCTCCAGGTGGTACACGTGGGTACACATACACACGCGCGCACCTTTTGGGTACTCAAGAAGCCAATTTAATCAACAGGAGGCAACGGGAGCCTGGGGTATGGTTTCAAACGGGGCTGTTCCGGACAACAGAAGCAGGGGCTGTGGGTGTGATTGCTTCCGGCCCCGTGGGAAAGCCTCCTCTCCTTCCTAGGGACGCTCTCTGAACTCCTCTGGCCTGGAGACCGATCCTGTACTGAACCACACACACCGGTCCCCAGGCTCTCCCTGGCAGGCGACTCTGGTGACAGGGTCTGCCAACCCCAGATACCTTACCCACGAAGTCCGCACCCGCGACAAGCTCCTGCAGGAGTGGGAGGCTCTGTTCAAATTCATCGGCGCCCACGTCCATGCCGCTGGCTCCCGGGCGCGCCGGATGCCGCCACGTGCCGCCCACGCGTTTCCGCTGCGCAGGACCTTAAAGCTCGTGCACGTGGCCCGCTAGGGCCAGAACATGGTTGGTGTGAATCTGAATTTGCGTGTGATGCCCACAGCCTTGACTTTAACTTGCTGGGAAAGTGGAAGCTGTTGCAATCAGCTAGTGTGGTCTTTACCTTGCAGCAATGTCTGCCTATGGTACCCAGGGACCAGTCTCCACGCTTACTAGTCTCTGGTCTGATATATCTTCTCAGTTCTAGACTTACAGTCTCCTAGAGACCTGGGCTTCTAAGTGAGGTGCTTCAATACATATTTAACCTGAGGGGGGAAAAATATATACCTTTGCCTCCACTTGGGTATTTATTGATATGACTTCTATGATATTGATATGACTCCTATGCCATTAGATGCTGAATGCCTCAGAATCAGTGTTTAAAAAAAAAAGAGGTATATGCTTACCATTTTTCTAAAATAATAATGAATTCTCAGAAGTAATATATCCCACTCCTGAATAAAGCTATTGAGGTACACAGTATTTGGAAACTGCACTAAAAGTCACCTTGTTTATATGTCTTTTTTACATTATATCAACTTTTAGAGAGCTGCCATGATCTCCCTGAGCTCCAACCTAAGTTAACTTGCATAACATTTTTAATACCTAACTTTATTATGTATATTTTGCTGGCACGTACATGTGCACCACATGTGTGCAGTACCTGTAGAGGCCAGAAGTGGGTGTTGGATTCCCTAGAACTTGAGTACCAGCTGTGACCTACTTACTTTTCTGGTCGTGGGAACCAAACCCAGTTCCTCTGCAAGAGCAGCCAGTGCTTTTAACCACACTGAGCCACCTTTCCAACCCGTTGTGTGACTATTTATTTATAAAGCTTCTTCTACAGCCAGATTTGAATTCTCAAATGAACATTCACCACCCATCACTTCCACCTCCCGCTGGCTGCTCCTCACACTCATTTCTAAGATTTGCCTAAAATCGCTAGGAAGTGAGTCCAAGGAAGTCTACAAGGCATTTGCAGCATATTGCCATAGTATTTACAGTTACACTGATATTAAAAACGAGACGAAACACTAGCCCCCATCCTGGGCAGCAAGCAATCCTCATTCCCTGGTGACTGGCCAGGAGCCATCCATGATACTTAGTGCTTTACAGAGACTTCACATTTGCTCTGCAGTCATAAGGTGCTTAGAGAGTACACAAGAAGGGTTCTGAGTTCGTTATAAACGTTTTAATTTGCTCTTCAAATGGTTATAACTGCTTTTAAGTACTGATGTCCACGAAAGGGGACAACTTTAGTCCTTGATCAAAACAACAAAACCACACAAGCACAAAGAAGTGGGAAGAGGCTCACTTTAAAAAATTTTCCACTGTTACATTATTGCTATGAAGCTTTCAGTCTGGTTTTCCTTCCAAATGCTTTTCTCTCTGTTTTCAGAGGCAGATGCTTTCCTTGGACAGCTCGAGTAGCTGATGGTCTTATGTTTATACTTTCAAAGCAGTTCATGCTTCTACTTCATTCATAGATTCTCCGAGGCTCCTGAAGCACCACACCGCCCTCTGTCATGGCATTCTGTAGACACTTTATCTGGTTTGAAGATCAGAGAGGGAAAAAAAAAGGACAACACTGTTAACCTTCAGAAAACCTGAAACATGTTTGCCTTCCAAGAGACAAAGATAAGATTGATTCATCTTGTGGACCTCCCAGCCTGCACTGGTTTTTCTCTGGTGATCTTAGGAACGTAAGAAAAAGGAAACGGAGAGCTATCAGTGACCAGCATCTTCAACTACACAGGCCGACGCCAGCGTTAACAACAGGAAGTGCAGGGCTAACATCCTAGACTCCAGGGACTCCGTCATCTAGCATTTTAAACTTGAAATACTTACTGACCTCAGTTTGTGCAGAGAGTGGGAGCATTAGCTCCTGTGGACTTGCGAAAATCAAGTGCTGTCACAGTACCCAGCCACAGGCCTAACACGTGGAATATCCTCAGAAAATAATGTAAGTGTATCTAATACCAAGAACTAATAAAATGTCCTCTATTGTCTCTGTATGTTGCTAGAGACTGCACATGCTAGGCAATGCTCTCAGAGCTGCATCCCCAGTTCTGTACCGTGTGTGTGTGTGTGTGTGTGTGTGTGTGTGTGTGTGTGTGTGTGCGCGCGCGCGCGCGCGCGCGCGCGCACGCACACACACTATGAATGGAACACAAGGCATCCAGCATGCCAGGCAAGGCACTGACTTATAGCCCTAGTCCCCACTTTTCCTTTTAAAATTTTGAGACAGGGTCTTACTAAGTTATTCAAGCCTTGAACTTGAGATTCTTCTGCCTCAAACCCTCGACAGCTGGAATTATAGACCTGTGTCACCAACAACTAACTTACCACCTCCCCCCCCCCTCCCTCCACCCCCCCACCCCCCCCACCCCCCGAGAAAGGGTCTCTCTATATCCCTGACTAGATGGAACTTGCTTTGTAGACCTGGCCCTGAACTCAAGCGTTCCATCTCTCTCTGCTTCTACCATACCAGGCCAAATTTTTATCTTTTGGTTTGTTTGTTTTTCTAGACAGGGTTTTTCTGTGTAGTCATAGCTATGCTGGAACTCACTCTGTAGACCAGGCTGGCCTCAAATTCAGTGATCCGCCTGCCTCTGCCTCTCGAGTGCTGGGATCAAAGGTGTGTGCCACCACCAACTCCCCAAATTTTTATCTTTTAGGTAAATATACAGAAATAAAAATACCGAGTCTGAGGATGCCTCCCAAGGGGTTGGTTGGTAGACCATGAAGTTGATTCCTGCTTCTAAGCAGCGCTGTGCCAACACACGTCCTATGCTCTCACAAGCCACCACATTTCTGGTATTATAAAGGTGTTTTTTAATAGCCCATTCACGAGTAGATGCTGAAACCACCACCTGGCCGTTTTGGTGCTCAACCAGTGCTTCTATGTGATGCTGAGTCTTTATAACTCGCAACCTAAATGGGATGAAAAGAAAAGAAAATTGTCAAACAATCTATTTACCAAAAAGTTCAATTACTTCAGGTGAGTAAACGCCTATGTGTTTCTCAAGAGTGTAGTGACTAGGCTGTTAAGACAGATCAGTGGGGGCTGGAGAGATGGCTCCAGGGTTAAGAGCACTGGCTGCTTCCAAAGGTCCTGAGTTCAATTCCCAGCAACTATATGGTAGCTCACAACCATCTATGAGATCTGGTGCCCTCTTCTGGCCTGCAGGCATACATGCTGGCAGAACACTGTGTACATAATAAATAAATAAATCTTTTTTTAAAAAAAGATCACTCAGTGAGTAAAGGTTCTTCCTGCCAAGACTGGCCACCTACATTCAATGCCCAGGACTTACAAGCCAGAATGTGATGTAGGAGTGTGTGGCGTATGCAAAGACCTATGAGTATGCACACACCAACAATAAACTGAAAAAAGAAAAATCCCACTCTAACAAATACCGAGGAAACATCCCACCTCCACACTGTAGCACTCCGGTAATAAACTAACGCTCTGGCTCTAAGGTCACATATGAACATGTCTGAATCCTAGCTCTGGCATTTACTCATCATATCTCCCTCTGTTTGAATTCCCCAGTCTCTGTAAAGTCGAGAAAATTATTACACCTGCTTCATAATGTAGTTTACATAACTAAATGAAAAAAATACATAAATTCAAAGCAACTAGCATAGTTCCTGGTAAACACAATGTTTTCAATAAACAGCCATCTTGGGGCTGGGGAGTGCAGTCCAGAGGCAGAGCACTTGCTTTGGGTGCTGAAGGTCCTGGTCTAACCCTCACAGTTCTCCCAAAATAAAGTTGAACATTGATTTTTATGTGTATGAGTGTTTTGCCTACATGTATGTCTGTTGTTACAGACTGGAGTTACAGCCAGTTGTGGGTGCTGGGAACCGAACCTGGGTCCTCTGCAAGCTCAGTAAGTGCCTTTTAACCAATGAGCTATTGCTCCAGCCTCCACAAATAAAATTTAGAAGTTTTTAAAGAAAGTACCTCATTTCTATGAAGTCTTGTAACTGCCCTTCCGATTATTCCCCACCTTAAAAACTAAGGTTCAGACTTTATTCTCTATTATTTACCCTAATCCGTAAACTAATAACCTAATTCTACTTACTACTCTGTTTTCATCACACTTCACTCACCCTTTTATTTACCGAACTCCAGGTACACAGGTCTGGAGGTTCCTCACAGACACTAAACTCAATCCCAGCCTAGTAACCTCCTCTACTAGAATGTCCTTCATGGCCGATGATTGATCGTCTTCCTGTTCTTTAGGATCTCAGCTTTTTTGTTTGCTTTTGCCTTTTCAAGACAAGGTTTCTCTGTGTAGCTTTGGTGCCTGTCCTGGAACTCACTCTGTAGCCCAGGCTGGCCTCGAACTCACAGAAATCTGCCTGCCTCTGCCTCCTAAGTGCTGGGACTAAAGGTGTGCGCCACCGCTGGCCCGGCTAGATCTCAGCTTTTTGACATGTCACCTCTTCAGAGAGGCGTCAATACATAGTCTCTTGTTATCTTTAAACGTTTTCTTCAGGACAACTATTACTTTGCTCCATGGTCGCTCTACTCTAGTCATCTTCCTGACACAACCCCCCGGGCTTATCGGGCAGGGTCGGTCAATCAAGGACTTATGAAAATGACGTGTGAGGTGCTATGCACAGCTTTAATTACCTGTGCCAGAACTCGCGGCTGGGCCACACTGTAGCCCAGCCCCGTTCTTTCCTGGCTACACCTAAGAGCTCCAGATTCCGAGGGTTCCGGTTGATGAACTCTGGGGCCACAGCCTCGTTTTCCTTCGTCTCCACTTCGTGCCGAATCGCGGGCGTGGAACTGGTTGAGAGGGCCGCGAACCCACACTCTAGGAAATGAAAACGAACCCGTGGATGTTTAAAATGACCAATGCGGGCACGAGCGGGGCATGCTCTGACCATTCCCATCACAAGGCCCAGAAGCGGGGAGAAATGGCCGTCTGCCCACAGGTGATCACCACAGACCCACAACCTTCTACGGTCACCCCGGGGCGGTTAGTGCGTTCACTTTCCCACACGGAACCCGGGGGACGAAACCGGATTTGCAAATTCCCATATACTGTGCACAGAGCGCAGGCAACGGAGTGGGGCGAGATTAGTTACCCAGGCTCCTGCAAACAGACAGGCATTTCCAGAACCGCGGCTGAAGCGCCATCGCTGACGGGACGTCGGCAAAGCCTCCCAGTGCCCTGGCCTGCCTTTGCTCACCGCTGTCAGAGAGAAGGACTAGCGGCCCGCAGCCATATTAACTGAGGGAAGAGCTACAGCTGCCAGCAGGTCCTTGGTGTCTCCGTGACCCGGAACTAACAAGCTCCCTAGTCCTGAGTGGCCGAGCGAGCGGTCAGTTATCTCTAATCCGCCAATCACCGGTGACGTCGAGGCGAGGGGCGGGGCGCGCTGTTTTCTCGGGCGTTCCCCCCAGGCTGAGGTTTTGGCGGGGCTGGTCGCAGAGCTGCCGACCACTGGGGGGCGCAGCCGCCTTGAGCTCTGCAGAGGAGCGCGGGATGCACGGTTTTCTCGTTGAGCCTGGACTGAGCCTCAGCTGATTCGCCGTATGCTTCCTGACACCTAAATATGAGAGCTCAAAGACGAAAGGCGCACAGGCTCCCACCTGAACCTAGCAAGGGGGGTTCGTTTGCTCCCTCACACCCCACCTCAACCCTACCCACTTCCCTAGAAAGCACTAGAATGTGCAAACGCGCATGCGCAACCCGCGGCCTGACTTCGGCTCTCCACTCTCGCGCCTTTCTTATCCAGCTTCTAATTGGACAAAAAAATCGTAGGACCCTCCACTTCCGGCATTTTCAGCCTCTCCTCCCCCCCCCCCCCCGCAATCCCTTCTTCCCAGCGTGCCTCGCGGTTAGCGGAAAGTGGGAAGCGGGCGGGGCGTGTTACCCAGCAGCCCGCGCGGCGTCGCTCGGGCCTCTCCACGCCGTGGTCCCTGTCGTGGTGGCCGCTGACCGGGCTCGGAGCGGAGATACCGTTTGTGTGCGGTGTTAGCGAGCTTGGCCAGGTTCCCTAAAGATGGAGGGTCCTTTGTCCGTGTTCGGGGACCGCAGCACCGGGGAGGCGATCCGCTCCCAGAACGGTAAGGACGAGAGAGTGCCGGGCCAGGCCCGCGGCGGCGCAGGCCGAGGCCCAGGCGCGGTCGGGAGGCCGGGGCCACCCCCTTGGCACCGTGAAGTGCCCCGAGGAGAGGCCCGGGCCCAGTGCGGCCCTCACCCGCGGGCCGGCTCGCCGCCATTGCGCCCTCCCGTGTAAGGGGAGAACGGTCGGGAGCTCAGCACGTTTTTTGGGGGGAAGTGCGCAGGATGGGTGTGGGCGTCCGCGCCCCGAGTGAGAGCTGCGTTAACATTGAAGGCGAGCTCCAGACCTACTCGCCTGCCACGCCCCACGGCCCCTTTGTTCAGGTTCTAGCCGGGTTGCAGCATCCCTGACATGACCGGAGAAGAGTAGTTTCCAACCCGTCCCATTTGCTCCTGAGAAAATGCCCGCAGATTTTAGGTGGTCCCTGCGTTGCTTCCCTCCGGCTGGCTGGCCGGGTTCTTGGATGTCCAGATCTTGCAGTTGACAGCTGCTCCCAGTAAAACCTAACGGATTGCAAATTGAACGTTAGTAAGCGACACTTAGCTACCATTATCGTTGTTAACCTTAATAGGAATTAGCACGTGGTGAGCTGTAGTTGAGCCTGTTTTTGAAAGCATTTAAGGTCTTCGAATCGTGGTTATGTTTACTAATTTTTTTATTAAAGCCTCCTCCCCCCGAAATACAATCACTACTCAGATGGACTATCTACTATTCTTATTAAAACTTGCTAGAGTCTGAAGGAAAAGTCTGAGGTGTACCTTAAAATTTTTCTTGCGGGGCTGGAGAGATGGGTCAGTGGTTAAGAACACTGACTACTCTTCCAGAGGGCCCGGGTTCAGTTCCCAGCACCCACATGGCAGCTCACAACTGTCTGTAAATCTAGTTCCAGGAGATCTGACACCTTCACACCAATGCACATAAAATAAATTTAAATAAATTATTTTTAAAAATGTTTTGCAATGAACAGTGGCAGGGATTACTCTTTGGAAGATTTTTTTTGTTGTTGTTTTATTTTATTTTATTTTTTTGAGACAGGATTTCTCTGTGTAGCTTTGCCGCCTGTCCTGGAACTCGATCTGTAGACCAGGCTGTCTGAAAACTTTTTGTAACATTTGACATACTCAAAATAGTTAAGCTTCATTAGCCCTTAAATAGTTGAGTTTTTCCCCCCCAGATTTGTAGACTTGAGAAAATCATAGGTGGTTGGATGTCTCTTGTTTGTGAATTGTTCTGATTTTTTTTCCCCATCTACAGTTATGGCTGCAGCTTCTATTGCCAACATTGTTAAAAGTTCTCTTGGACCAGTTGGCTTGGATAAAATGTTGGTGGATGATATTGGTGTAAGTATATCTAACTGTTCTTGGTTGCCTTGATAAAAATAATTTCAAAAAAACCTCAAAATGGTTTTCTCTGTAAAGTCTTTGTTTCTACTTAAATATATTAAAGCTGAGTGTGTATTTCTCAGGATGTAACCATTACTAATGATGGTGCCACCATCCTGAAGTTACTGGAGGTAGAACATCCTGCTGCTAAAGTTCTTTGTGAGCTGGCTGACCTGCAAGACAAAGAAGTTGGAGATGGAACTACTTCAGTGGTGAGGCACTACCTGGGAGTGGCTAGAGAACGGTCACTATTAAAGTTGAATCCATCACAGAATCCTTTGCTTTAGGTCAGAAATAAGTCACGTGTTTATGGTCTCACAAACATTTGAAAACTAATCATTGTAACTAGTTTGTGCAATTTAAGTAGGAAAAGAACTCAGGTAGTTGAATATAAGCTTGTTTTAAATACTGGGGTCTCATGAATTTGGGGGCTTATTTTCAACCCACTTGCCATGATAATGTTTACATGTAGAAAAGAGTTTCTTATTTAAAGAAGAAAGTGTTACCAGGTTTGGGCTTCTTTGTTTGTTGTTTAATACTTTTGAATTTTAAATGTGGGCAGGAAATCTTGGAAATTCAGAATAGAAAGTTGAGGAAGTTAATTTGCTACCATACAGTGCTAATAGCTAGTCAGCAAACATGGTTAATAAAACACACTTGAATTATCCAGCATACTGGTATAGTACTGTTTAATGAGGAAGATGTTAACTCTAGCTAAACAGATTGTGGGGAAATTTATTTAGAGACTTAACTTGGCCTTAAAAGACTGGAATCTTATGATCCTAAACAGTGAAAAATGGCCTTTGTCTAACTTGTTTAAAATAATGTGATTTAATAAATACCTTAATTCCTTTCAAAAAAAGGTTGACAGATTCTTTTGGGGATTTTTTTTTAAATTCAGGAAAGTGGTTTTTAGTGTTCTATATTTTAAATGATTTTAAGATTTAATTAAACATACTAGAATAGCAAAAATCATTTCAATTGTTCGATATTTAGCTTTTGTTGCATTCAATCTCTAAATGTAATGGATATAAATTCTGTGACTGATATGTAAAATTAAATTATAAAATTAAAAAAAGATATATTTAAAATAAAAACTAATAAATTCTGTTGCGCTGGGGCTTTAGCATTTTTCTGGTGTTTGTGGCTTGGGCCATTTGCACAGAATACTTTGTAGTGGTCTCCATTTTACATTTTCAGAAAGCTGCCACTCGCTTGTCTACTGTGGCTAGTTAATAATGCTAGGTCGTAGCTGGGCATAGTGGTGCATGCCTTTAATCCCAGCAGTTGGGAGGCGTTGGCTGGTGGATCTCTGAGTGAGACCAGCCTTGTCTGCAAAGTAAGTTCCAGGACAGCCAGGGCTGCACAGAGAAACCCTGTCTTGAAAAAACAAATAAGTAAATAAAACAAAAATAATGACGTTAGGTCATTTTAATGTTTTTCTGTATATACACTGTGCCATGAATACTTAAAGCAGTGTTTAATCAACAGGTAATTATTGCAGCAGAACTTCTGAAAAATGCAGATGAACTAGTCAAACAGAAGATTCATCCAACGTCAGTTATTAGTGGCTATCGGCTTGCCTGCAAGTAAGATTACGTTCAAAGAAAATGATATTTTGTGTAGTGGTTGTAGTCTGTCTTAATGTTGTGACTAATCTCAAATAGGAAATGTCTTAGCTTCGCGTTCAGGTGGTACTGTTTGAAGTACTCGGCCCAGTGTGCTGCTTTCTCCCGTTTGACTACCACATTCTCTCCTAATAGATTTTAGTGGCTATGCTTGTGGGATAGAGGAAAGGTGCCGTGATCTGAAGAGGGGGGACTTTTCCGTGTCTTCCCCCTATATGAAATGGCTGAACAGAAAACGATTGCCTGTGACATTTGATAGTGTGTTAAGTGTGGTGAAATGCAAAACTTCTGAGTGATGTATCTGTATTTTCCTTTCCTGTAACAGGGAAGCAGTGCGCTATATCAGTGAGAACCTTATTATTAACACAGACGAACTTGGAAGAGACTGTCTGATCAATGCTGCTAAGACATCCATGTCTTCCAAAATTATTGGAATGTATCCTTAAATGTTCCAGTGAAATTTGGCCCACCTTTCCCTCTTAAAAATAAGGCTAGGTTTCATAGAATGTCAATTTTATGCAATAAAATTTAAAATGCTAGGCTAATGCAAACTGATCTTGTTAGAGAAAAATGGCTGAGACTACTGCTGCCTTTCCAGCCTTGCCACGGCGAAGGGTGATGTGAGATGCAGGCGGAGGTAAATGTACACACGTCACCTTGACTGTAGGAATAGTACTTTCTTCCATTGGTGAATTACTCCCAAGTCTGTTGTTGTCTTTAACTCTTGTCTCAGAAATGGAGATTTCTTCTCTAATATGGTAGTGGATGCTGTACTTGCTGTTAAATACACAGATATGAAAGGCCAGCCTCGATATCCAGTCAATTCTGTTAATATTCTAAAAGCCCATGGGAGAAGTCAGATAGAAAGCATGCTGATCAATGGCTATGCACTCAATTGTGTGGTGGGATCTCAAGGTGAGTAAGGTTCAGTGGTATTTGGAAATTGAGACTACTACGGTTCAGTCACTTTGTTTGGTTTGGTTTTTGTTGTTTGGTTTTTGTCTGTGTTTTTCATAGTGTTTATCTTAATAGGCTTGAATAGTTGAGATAGGGAGCTGGGCATGGTGGCACGGGCATTTAATTCCAGCACTGAGGAGTGGTGGGTAGGCAAGTCTCTGAATTTAGGGGCCTGCCTTGTCTACATAATGAAACCCTGCCTTTAAAATAAAAAAAAAAAAAAAAAGAATTTGTGGTGGGTATAGATTGAAAGAATTGTGTGCCCTTGCAATCATCAGACTTTCCTAAGGTTTAATGTAGTTACTTGCCGTCTAAATTTGGTTTATGTATAACATGAAATTTTTTGTTATGGTTTTAAGGATAACTGTCTTTTATGAACCCTAACATTGTTATAGTTGACCTTTTATTCATTTGCAGGCATGCCCAAGAGAATAGTTAATGCAAAAATTGCTTGTCTTGACTTCAGCCTGCAGAAAACAAAAATGAAGCTTGGTGTACAGGTGGTTATTACAGACCCTGAGAAGTTGGACCAAATTAGACAGAGGTATGTGGGGAGAGTTTTGCCTGTGAAAGGATGTTTGTAAATCAACACTTGTACTGGGTAGAAGAAGCATGTTATAAAGTAATGATTAGTCAAGCAGGCGTGGTCTAGCTTTATGTGTCTGAAACAGGTGGATCATTTAAGCTAGGAATTGTGGTCAA